TTGTAAAAGATTTAAAATCAAACCTGCTTTGTTTCTCATTAGACAAACCTTTGTAAAGCAGGAAGTTATATTATATTATTATTTATGAGTTATTTAAAGGAATTCATAAAACCTCGATTATAAAATGCTTAAGATTTTGCCTACCTCTGTGCACACAGCATGACACTAGCTGAATTAAAGCCCCTTAAAGTTATTTGTATAATCATATTATAAGAAGTATAATCTGTTTATAACCATATGAAACTGTCTGTCACCGTACAGATTTTCTGACAACCTGAAATTATCACAAGATGTAACATCTTTAGTACATGATTATCAAAGAAACTCCACAACAACCACAAACTGCAACAGAAACCAAAAACTGTTTTGTAGTGAGACACAACAGTGATTCACCACAGGGTGAAAGAGAACACACACATGCACACAATAATCAAGTCAGTTTCTGCTGTTGGGATGCATTCCATGCATTCCTCATTAACTTATTTAAGAATAAATGTTTTCAACAAAACAGATGGCTGTTGTCAGGAAATAACAAGAGTCTATGTTATGGAGAAAGTAATGTGTAGAGCATGAGTTTGTGGAATCCTAAAACAAAATACAGACGTAACTTTCAGTGTGACTGCTCTCCTGAACAAACACTATATAAATAATTTAGTCATAATAAAATTGTATAAGTCAGCATTAGTTGTCTAAATCATTTTAGTGCGACAGGGTTATCAGAAAGAAAATCTGTCACACTGGTGACTTACACAATTAGTTTCAGAATGACTWACACATCTTTGCATCTTTACTTTGAGGCACAAAAATATTGAAGTCCTTACAAAGGCAGTTGAGAGATTTGAGCGTCATCTTTAAGCAACAATTTAGGAAAGAACACAACACAAGCAGCAAGAACAGACTCTGTTTACCCAGAATTATGACAAGGACTGTCAACAAACTGCACCCTGCATGTCTGCWATGCTCACGTAATATTTGGATTAAGCCTTAGCTGCCATTCGTTGACTGTAAACAAACTGAAACTCATGTTAGTTCAGTCAAATTGGCAGCAAACCACATCTTAGGTGACGCGTTTTGTATTTGGTAGCTAATTAGCTTTCGTGCTGCTTTCCATTAATAACTAAAAAGTAAACTTACTCTATGGCCACTGTAGTAAAAGTACGAAAATGGCACAGCAAAATCACCCCTGTTTTAACATGATAAAATATGGATGTTAGCTACTAAAGCTAGTATTTTACTCAAGGAGAGGAGCCGAACCCTCATTAGCCTGCTAGCACTTGTTAGCGTCCCACCCTTTAGCTGCTGGATAAATTAAGTGTTGCTAAAGCAGGTTTTGCTAACCGTTTTCTATTGGTATTAAAAATAAGTCGCTGGACTTAGTAGAGTGTCACAAATGGTTCTATTTTCCTGTTGTTATCGAATATCACAGACATTTTCTGGAGTTAGCTAGCGACAGTGCTTGCTAACGATGACAACTGAGCTAAATGTTAGCGCTAATCACTCCAACAGCTGCAAACACMAACTTGTCAAGTACCTGAGAGACAGACGATGAGGTGAACTTTTTAATGCCAACGCTTTAGTTTACAGCCAAACAAAATCCCGGGGGCACTAATGGCGAGATGGCTGGGGGGGAAGCCAAGATGATAATTTCAAGAATCCCGTCACGTCTCCTCCTTTCTTTCTTCTCGCAACTTCCCCTTAGAACCAAAACACAAACAAGCTCTTCCGCTCTCCGCCACGTCACCACGTCACGCAGCACGTCGAGCCGGAGCGCAGGGCAGTGGGCACYGGCTCACATAATTTTTTACCTAATAAAAACTATATACCATAAATACCACATACACAAATCGAAGTTTAGTCACTTCACTCCCTCTTTTCTGATACTCAAAAACGAGTCTGATATAAACATCTGACTAATAATAACAAATGCTGTGAAAACGATTGACTTGTGCTCTTTGTTTAAAGTTTTTGTGTGAATTTGCCCTCTGGCTTTTGTTTGTGTGTTCAAATGTATATTTGATAACTACCTTGTACTGATTTTGTTACTTAAAACATGGGAAACAAACAAACAAACAAACAAACAAACAAATGCTTACACAATAACACAC